CACACACACACACACACACACACACACACACACACACACACACACACACTTCTAACCCCTCGGGGACTTATTTGCTGGTTTGTGTCATTGGAGCTACTGTGTCCTCCAAGATTAAGATCCCGTTTAGGAGTGGTCTCTTTGTTACATAACCGTTTTTATAGATTTGCATCTAAAGCCCATTGGGTGAGCTTCTCACACTTGCAGAGCATTTAAAAACAAAGCGGAGCCATGACGAAAAACAAGGTGAGACAACTTGTACGAACTTTTCCTCGCATGCTGCGCTGTTTGTTTAAGAACATGGCACATCCTGGCAGACGTTAAGCTAATAAACAGAGCGTGCCAAACTGAAGGAGCTTGAAAACAGGAGCAAATTTGAATGTGATGATTTTTTTTTTGTGCATTACAATGTCAACTGCCTAAAATCCACTTACATCGGCCAAAAAAAAAAAAAAAAAAGAGGTTGATTGCGTAACACATTTCTGCCAGATCAGGGACAATTTTAGGCGAACGTGGGCACACATACATTGAGAGGATTGTAAACGAGAAGGGAACTATAACAGTTGCTAGGGAACACCGTAAGACCAGACAATCTAATTCTGCTTGAGGAGGAGGAGAGACCGACAACAAGCAACTAATAGTGCTGTGGTATAAACTACATAAATATATCTCCCACTCCTTCATGTAAACACAGCCTGGCAGACTTCACTTTACCGTGGCACTTTGGCCTTTCACGCTCGAGGGAATTGCCAACAGGATGCACATCGCCAGAGAGCGTTACTCTCATTTGTCTGACAAACACACTCAAGACAAAGACACTCCAGTCTCCACACAGCTGGAAAGGACAGACAAATAGGATGTTTGTGCTGTGACGATAGAATTTTTGTAATTTGGGTAAACTTCAGAAATTATTTTTTACTCTTGCATCTGGAGCAACGCTGTTGATTCCAAGAAGTGCCTCCATGCACCTCAAGTAAAATGTATTTTAATCCAACGTCCCATCAGCCCCAAAGACGTTCTTAATAACACGAAACTTTGACATTTTCTGCCATGTTGCCAGCTTTCAACCTAGATCCTCCTGTCGGATCGGTCACCCACTGAAAAGGCACTTCTGGAGCAAGGCCAAGTAGAAGCATCACAGCCATGAATCAGACCTTGAGGTTTGGGTGAAGCTCAAGCTGGCATTGAAAAAAAAGTGCCGTCAATCTATCAGTCAAGCCAGTTCTAACTTTGACAGTTTGACACCAGGAGAGAGGCATCAGTGAAGACGTGTCTTTGTGACGTGCGTCATTGTTGTGGGTGTTTGTAGGTATGCCTCCTCGTGGCGTATTGTTCACATTGATTGGGGTAACAACAGTGTGACTGGGAGGAATGGCGCTATGGCATTTGAGTGGATCTTCAATGGGATCAAAACAATAAAAGGCAGAAAATCAATGTGTGCGATTGGGAAAAAGGCAATTCATCATAGGAAGACACTGAGCATTCCTTTGTGACAACTCTTATTGTGGGGCTCTTTGAGAAGTGTGTGTGTGTGGCATTAGAATTTAAAAGCAGATAAAACAACATGACATAAATTCCTGTGACATATATTCTATATCCACTAACCTTATAAGCAGACTTTTAAAACAAATCATACAGAAGTCAAAAGGGAACAATATTTTATCACTGTTTTGAAAACCCAAGTTTTATTTTTTTGCTGACATTGTTTTCTTTTTCGCATTCCATCAAGCAATGAATCCGGGCAATTAGTATTCTCACAATGTAGAAAGTGTGTCAAATGTATAAAGAGTGGGAACACGGGAGCGTCATACTGAACAATGGGCCACATTGGAGAACATGCTTTGTGTCATGAAGGAAAACAGATACGTTATCTTAAGTATCGGAAGCAGAGTTCAGTGTCTGTCTGTGTCAACACAGCACAGTGGCATTAAGAGATTTCTTTTCTCAAATTCTAGCAACTCAAGCACTCAAATAAATTGACAATTACATCAAATATTATTTACATTTTCAAGATTCAGAATTCTTATTTTACAAAGTGCATGAGGGCTTTCTTCTGTACAGTGTTATGAAGAGGGTGTTTATGTTTTCACTGTGCAATCGTGTATTAATTACATCTTAATGTATTCAAGTTACTGAAAATGAAAATCAGTGTTTGTTGTTTTTTACAAAATAACTACAGTCATAATATGGTCATGTATTCGTGGCACATTACCGCCATTGTGCGTTCAGTCAATCAACACTTTTTAAACCAGCTAAAAATTCATAAATTTATGAACACACACATTTCATCAGAGTGTCAAAACTTGCTTAATTCTTTTCAAATTATATAATTCTGTCTCCATATTAGACACATCGTGTCTCACAAAGAACAAATTACAGCACATATTTAATTTCACACTATTTACAGAATACTATTGCCTCGTTTAATGAATCAACATTGTTATACATTTCTCAAACAGTCCTTTTTAGATGATGATCAAAAGTTTTCCCCTTAATCTTTCATACCGTGAGAGTTTTTACAGCCCGTGTCTTCTTACCTTAAAAACTCACTTGTGGACAAACAGTTGGCGAGCCACCAACTACAGCTTGGAGACGAAGGGGAGGCCCTCGTACATGTTAGCCTTGAGCTTGGTCCACTCGGCCAGCCTCTGGATGGTGCTCTTCTCCTGGCCCAGCACGCCGGCCACCTTCCTCAGCTTGGCCTCGTTGCGCTCCAGGTAGCGCTCCCCCTCACCCTTGAGGAAGTTCAGCTTCTCCGCGCGGCTCTCGTTCATCGGGATGTCCTCGCTCATGTAGGGGTTGAAGCGGAAGTACGTGTCGGGGGGCAGGAGTGCGTCCAGCATGGTGTGTACCTCTGGGAAGAAAGACGGAGGCCTTTAGCTACAGATGTTGGACACTAGTTGCCGGCATTTCCTCTTCTGGTTTACACTTCAAGAGAGACTGCACTGAAACCAGAGAAATTCGCAGCGCACCACGCGCCTCTAATCTGGGGGTTTATAAATAAATCTGTGTGGGACGTTAAACACATGCAAATACTTTCTGTGTGGTCCTACCCTCGGTATCTGTGGCACTGCTGATGACGTGGCTGAGCTTGGTCTTGAGGCTCGTGTAGGCCGTGCTGTTGTTGCCCGCCGTCTCGTACCGCCCGGTGCCCAGAGACAACACGCACTGCAGCGGCGTGTTTGGCCACAGACACTTACACTCGTGGATGGCCAAAGCTGTGGGGTTGTTGATGAGTAGTCCTCCATCCTAAAAAAAAAAAAAAAAGGAGGAGACAGATGGGAAGGGAAATGATAAAAGGGGAACTGTGGCTGATGGGATTCCAGAAACTGTAAAGTCACCTTGCGTCAGTCACGTTTGCTGACTGAGCAAGGTTAATGCACATATAGGACAATTTGTGTGTAGGGGCCTGTAGGGGACAAAATGAGGTAAAGTGGACAAGCTGTCCCGGAGTGGTACAGCTCCCTGGCCAGAGAGGTGCTGCTCTGGCAAACAGCCCTGTTTATTCAGAAGTAAACAAGAAGTCTTTTAAGCAGCTAAAATAAGTCAGTTTTTTAGTCATTTTGGTCTGGAATCCTGTTAAATAAAGAGTCTACTTGCTGCATTACTCTGACTTGTGTTGTTGGCACAGCAGATTACATTTGAGAATTCTAATCTTCTTAATTTAGAAGCTAATCACAAATTCTGTGCTAAATACTGTTACTGGATTCATGAAAGAGTTGCAAATCTCAGCGGTGCCAACAATGACAGAAAGAGGACAATCGAGCTGAATGGATGCCTGGACCAATTTAGTGCAAACTGCTCTTTTCTCAGTCTTTCCCCGAGTCCAGTCCTGGACGATATCCAGCCACTGAAGGGCTTTTGGCCGGGATTAATAGACATGGTGAGTGTGGCCCACAAGAGGCCCGACCCTCCCCAGCCGAGCGGGGGTAGAGGTCATTTCCACGCCTCTACAAGGGGGCGGGAGAAAAGAAAAGGCTTTAATCCACTCCTTCGTTCGGAATAAAGCAAATGACCACACCCGAATAAATCTTTTAGTACGTTACATTTCATCTTTTTATGAATTCAACTTGACTGGTTAAGAAACACTAGAATAGGCTTAGTATGTTGTTCTAGGTCCACTCTGCTGCCCTGGTATTATGGGACAATACTGCCCGAAAAACATCATTCTTAGCCTAGTTGTAAAGCTGTTCACCCTCAAGCTATTGAAACAGTGGAACACAGTTTGCATTCTTTGAGACCGCATGTTAACTACACAGCTGACCCTCAACCTCTCACTCTGGGGTCTAACTTAACGGAATGACAAAAAGCTAAATGCTGCAGCATCCTCAAGCAGGCAAATGACTGCTATTGCCTAATAAGGATTGTTTGCTATGATTAAGAACTACAGCTCTGGGAGAATATTTGAATGTCACCTATACATCGAGTCTGTGAGAGTTTGTCTGCTGGCCTGCAATGGCAGAACTCTCCTGAGAAATACCGCCGCTAGTGCTGAAAACTAGAGTAGTAGTGAGACCGGTGGGTGGCAACGGTAGTTCAAACTGTCACGTGTGAAACACTGTGCAGCTCCACACACCTCATTCATTCTCCATCTTTCCATCCCTGCTGATATCCCATCCCAGTGCGTGGGAAACAACTCAAAACAGACACTTCAAACAAGCAGCTATCATGCTCCTATGAAACATGTTATTTAGCATGCTAACATACAATATGAGCAGATTTCTGTCTTGTTAAGACATTAGTAGCAAAGCCAGCAACCTTTTGGGGGTTAGAGGTGGCAGTTACATTCAGGACTGCCTCTACATTTGTATACTTGCTCCCACCATCTTATATTTCATCATTTAGACTTTTTTTAAGCTAAAATGTCTGTAAGGCACTTTGAATTTTTAAAAGACAATTAATTCAATAATAGCAGAAAAATAAATGGACTCCTGGTATCTTTTTAAATTGTGATTTAAACAACACTGAAGCTGATCAATAAAACAAACAAAATTACAAATATGTTAAAAATTGTATTTTAGGTGCTGGTTAGTAAGGTGCTGGTTGGCTAATAAACAATAATCCTACAGGAAAAAAAAACAAAACCAGGTGACAATCATCCCCAACAGGTGGATTGTTTATAGTAAACATTCACTGGTAAAAATGAGCAGCTAGAAAAGCCTGAGCTCGGGCAAACGACTAGTCGGTCATTTGTTTTCATTCTAACTGCAGAGCTTCGGTCTATAAACATGCAAATGGAACTGGAGATTAGGATCCGCTAATGACTAAAACATTGGGCTGTCAACCAGAACTCTGGCATTAGGAAATGGCAGGGGAGAGAAATACTTGTTAGAAGCAGGGACAAGGCTAATTTTGCTTAAGTAGGTTATCAAAATGAAGCTAAGCCTGCAGCATAATTGCTGCCCATAAAGACCATCTTAAGATATCTGGCCTAATAATCAAACGGCATGAAATAAAGGCACTCTGTGATGTGGACCCAAGCGTTAGAAAAGTGCTACAAACACTGTAGTCATTTATCAGATCCCTCAGCTTTTCATTAAATAACCTCCTACTTAAGCCTAAAATCTACCATTATTGAAACTTATATCTAGCATCCATTGCCTAATGCACTATTTATTATTCAGTGTGTGAATGCAAAGGAGGCACATGAAGCTTATTAATTGAGAAAAAAAGAAAAGAAAAAAAAAAAAGAAAAAAAAAAGTAATTTCATCCTGACTCTGCCTCGTATCAGATACAAAGATCTCCAAATAGTGATGGCTGATATTTAAACATTGATCCAAACATTATCAGACAATGTATCCAGCTGCAGACTGTGTCACTTTGACATTTGATGTATTAGGGAGTCAGGAGACGTAGCACTTGTGTCTTCCTCAAACATACTTCAGCAGGGCAGTGAGTACTCTCAGCTTAACTTTTCACTTGACATTGCATTCACGCTTCAAAAACCATAAAAGTGGTGTTCATTTGTGAAGATTATCTTGCTGAACAACATATGTAAGTATCGTGAACTTGTGTTTGCCACAGAGCTTATTTTTTTGCAATAATCCAAAAACCAACGGAACAGCCCCGTTGGCTTTTTGTCGAGTGAACCAGGGCGATGCTAACTTCTGGGGCTGGCCCACAAAAGTACTTCATCCCTGCAGCACTCTGTTCTGTTTAACAACTAAGGGACTGCCTTTAAGTTTATGGGTTCGGAAGAGTGAAATAAATTTTCACACATAGCCTTGATGTGTGTGCACACACACACACACACACACACACACACACACACACACACACACACAAGCACAGAGTGCAGTCTAAACTCAGTGCTTTTGTCCTTGGCACTAGGCAACGCAGTGCCACAGCGGAAGTGTATTGATAGGTAAGATCTGAAGGCAATGACTCCCTCCCACTAAACTAGGGCTCTCAGAGAAATGCAACTTCTTAGATCACTATGGTGATCTGTGCCGCTGCTGGTGGAAATCTCCTCCAAGGACAATGTCACAACATTATTGATCATGTTGCTGCAATCCTCCAGTCCCCAAACGCACAATCGACTCTGCAACCTGCGTTGTCATCAACCTCCAGTATACTAAACGGAGCTGACCTTCTCTCAGGTCCATGTCGTACCTGATGCAGGTCTTTTCCCAGGACGAATTCCTTGAAGTAGCCTGGAGCGGCAGAAGAGGCCCTGATGGCCTGCCACATTTTGTGGTTGCAGTGTCCGATGTAGTGGGATCTCACTCCTGGCATGAGTGTGTAGTTCCTGAACGCGTAGGCCTTCAGAGGTAAACCCCTGTTCACAATGGTGCTCACTGCTGACACCTTGTGGACACAAAAAGGGCACATTTAGAGCAGAACATGCCAAGTAATGTATATTTTTACAGCATTTCAACAAGGCACTCTGGAGTTTTCCTTGGTCCTTTGCAGTAAAAATATAATTTATTTTAAAGATCTGATAACACAAGCACTTGTGTTTCTCACTATGATTATACTGCAAATAATCATCAAATAAAAATGAACTTATGAACAATTAAAGCATTTACCTAAACAGTGTAGAGCTGAAGAGTCGTTTAGCTTACTTTAGGGCAGTGTGGGTCCCTGGCACTCTCAATCATACGCCCCTCACCCATCCGTTCCCTAAAACAACAACCAGATTAAAGACACAGCCAACTATATATAGACTACCCCAGTGTCTTTGAAATCCAGGATGAAAGAGCCCTGCAGACTAACTTGAGGATGTTTTCCCATATTTCGCTGTCATAGAACGCATGGCTCCAGCCCATCTTAACGGTTCCGACGATGACATTCTGTTTGAACACATCCGAGCCCAGCTTCCTGTACATCTCCTCGCACTCCTCTACGGGGATCTGAAAAATTCCCAGCATGAAGGCCAAAATGGCACCTAAAAGTAGAGAGGAACAGCTGTGATGTGCCGTTGAGGAAGGGAGTATCAGGAGTTCACATACATTCCCTATGTAGGGTAAGTGTGAGAGAAGAGTAAAAGAGAGAACAACGCTAAACATTGATGACAACATACCTGTGCTGACGCCACAGATGTAGTCAAACAGCTGGTGGATTCGTTTGCCAGTCAGGTTCTGCAGTTTCTGGAGCGTTTGCAGGGCCAGCAGTCCCCTGTAACAAAGGCACAAGGTTCACAAACCTACACTGACAAACAATGCAGCTGTTAAATATGATCCACTACAGCGAGCATATAGAAGTGGTCTTTTCCAGTAGGCCTGCAATGAAAGGTCACTTTGTATTTCTCTGTGGTGTAATAGAACCATATTAGTTCCCATCATTTGTGACCTATCAATTCAGCAGTGAAACCAGCTCTGTAGCTTTGTTTTCTCTGGATTTTCTGTTGGTACTCCCGGTGTAGCTTTACCTTGTTCCGCCTCCGTCTATGGCCAGGACCCGAATTCCTCTGCCTTTGACTGGTTCGGCGTAGCCAACCAGGGCCAGAGCTTCTCTCACAGCAGCCTGAAGAGGCGGGTCTCTGGCCTGGCGCAATCGCAGCAGGCAGGGCAGCACACTCTCCTTAAAAAGGTCACAATCGTGCACAAACATACTCCCTCTTTAAAAAAAAAACACATTTAAAAGACATGTGCAATACATCTGACATTACACTGAGCTGCAGGGTACATTAAAAAAATAAATAAAAATTCTGAAGCTAACCGTGATAGCTACACCTCGTGTCTCGGGGAACTCCAGGAGGTGAACACTGAGCTCCTCCACCCGACTGGTGAGAAGCTTGACATCAGTGACTCTCTGCAGGCCTTTCACCAGAGCTCTGGTCCTGTTGTCCACACCCACCCTGGCTGCTATCTGCATGAGAAATACAGACCATCTGATAAATATAAGGCATCCGACACACTTTACTTTAAAATGTCTTGACTTATTCAATGTCTGAAACGTAAAAACCTAAGCAATAACAAGTGAAATCATAGTTTGCTATTTCGATTTTGTACTTCCCTAAGAGTTCCACACAGAGCGCCTTACCTTCTCTCTTTGAGTCAACAGCTGCTGCTTCACTTTCTCCTCCTCGCCGTCTGTCTTCTGTCTTGCCTTGTCCACAGCGGGCTCCTCCACGGCGACTGCCGAAGACTTGTCTCTTTCGGCTGCGATGCTCTTGGAATCACCTCTGAATTTCGGGACCAGGGGTGTGATGTAGCTGCCGACGAACGCCTGAACGGTGGGCCGAGGGTAGGAGAGGTAATGGGTGAAGCCTTTTTTAGAGGCGGTAGCAGACGCAGGGGTGGACTGAGCTGCGCTTTGAGTGGCAGGGATTTCAGAGGAGGGCATCCCTGCTGGGGAGCCGAGCTCTTCTGATGGAGATGGAGGGGGAGGAGAGGAAGTGGGTGCTTCAATACTTTTAGCCTCTGCCACTGTCGACAAAATAGGAATGGGGTCCCGAGTTGTCCGAGCGACAGCACTGAGAGTGGGCTCAGAATGCTGCCGCTGTGGAGGTCTGTTGTCTCCTTCTTCCTCTTGATTGCTGGTGCCAAAGTAACTATTGATGTGCTGAGCTAGAGTTCTGTAGGTCTCATCCATGTTGGTGGACAGAGCTGTTTCTTCCTTCATGGTGGTTTCAGGTGGCGAGGCCGTAGCTGTGTTGTTAGAGGTTAAGGTCTCGGCTTTGACCAGAACCTTTTCCGCTTGGGTGCTGTCGACTGCCGCACTTCCAGGCTTGAGGCGGGAGAACTTGGAGATGAGGTCAGTGCTGCCTACTGCCTTGGTGACGCTGTCCAGTGTGGTCCTGATTCGCGACATGCGTTCGCTGGCTCACTTGGAACAGCGGTGGAGAACTTGAAGTTTATCTGGCAATTGGATGCTTAATGTCTGTGCATAAATGATGCATCATTGTGGCAGACTATCTGCCATCAGCAGGTTTTGGGTAGAAATTCCATTTCAGAGGGTCATTTTGCTGCTTGTTTTAATGTTTCCTGGAAAAATAGAAGATTGAAAACAATGAATATTAATATTTTTAGGAGCATATTACACTGCAAATGGAAAAGTAGGCCAACAGAGGGCCCCATTTGCATCCTGGTAGCCATGGAAACTTCAACAGCAACAAAAGCAGATGCAGACAACACCTTTCACAAGCTGACAGCCTAAATCCTCCAGTTCCCACACGCTGCGCACTGTTACAAGGACAGGATGGAAGAGGACCGGCTTTCCCTGGATCTGAATCCAGAGTCAGCTCTACTTGTGAAGACTTTGCTGGAGAGACACCACCATGCTGTCGGGCAGCAGGTGGAGGACTCTCCGGACAGTGAGATGACTACCATCAACTGGGTTGCCAGCAAAGACTTCACAGTCGACGTGGGGGAAAAGCAGATTGGAGAGTATATTCAAACGTGGGAGCTGAAGCCCTGCTGGCTTTACAGTCTGGCCTTCCTCTCCTCAACCGAGGAGGAGCACCGTACCTTCTACCACTACCGGGCCCGCTTTAGCACCCCGACCTTACGGAAACCGATTCAGGACACGGCTAGCGTCTATTTCGTCGTGGGCATGTCTAAAGTTAAACCCCAAACTCTGCCCGTGGAGGTGCACTTCGTAGTGGAGTCGAACCGGCTGGTGCACACACCCGGGAGGACCAGGTTCAGAGGCAAGTGGCTGGCGGACGTCATTGAGAGCAAGACTTTGCTCGGAAGAGAGGTGGACCTTTGACCCACGAACCACCTGGAAGGAGTAGTCTGGAAGTGTTTGGCAGCATTAAAATCAGACAGAATGTCTTTGAATGTCCTGTTGCTCTAATGAGTATCACTACACGTCGAAATAAAATGAAGTAACGTTATCTAACTTTAACAACGTTAGCGTCTGACTTGCACGTTGTGTTGGGCCCTTTTTTGGTGTCTGTAACGTTAACCCGCTGGCTAAGTGAAGCTAGCATGAAGGTATTTTCACGTTAGCTTTTACGCTTTAACTCACACCTATCCAAGACACCGAAGCCGTTTGCGTTAGATAATGTGCTTAAAATAACACCTCACGATCATGATGTTTGAAAGCCGAATTGCTCGGCAGATAGCTGACAAATGTGCACACTGGATACGTTACATTAGCTGCTGTTGGCTAACGTTGCTTAGCTTTAATAGAGAGCACATTGTCGAATTGTACGCAATGTCATGAAATAAACAAACTTCTTCTTACCATACAAAACCAAGACGGTTGAATATGTTGACCGGACATTTCATTCAATGTGGTGCTGGACTGGTACAGCCTATGTACGCATAATAACTGTTTGTTAGAGAAAAAAAGAAAACAGGAAGAAGACAGGATGTGACGATTTTGTCCCTGGACAGTGCAATGCTCTAGTTATGCCACTGAGTGTCGACAAAACATCTTTGGAATAAAAAAGAACAAATATTTCGCTGCAAAAAATTAGCAGCAATTTAAAGATATCAATAATCCACAGCACGGTATGCCCAGTATGCTCAGGATCACAGTTGGCTTGAAGTAATTCATTATTCAAACGTCTTGTTACTTGAGTAGTGTTTTGTGACATAAAGAACAAATAGCATCTCATGTTGAAAATGCTTCCTTGAAAGAAATAATGAGAGTTAATGAATACCAAGTTCGATCAATACCTAATGCTATTCTGCATAAAGGAGACATTTTGACTTGTCCGACTAAGAAATGCACAGGTGTTACTAATAACACTAACTAATGGCTCTATTCACTGCAGGTGTTCCAGTAAGAGTGGCAGTGAGCCACCGACCACGTTACAGGTCCCTGAAATCAAAGAAGCTAAATGTAATTCAGCCATCATCGTTCAATTACACCTGTTTCCTGTTGTGAAAAATCAAATTGTCTTCAGTGAAAAAGGCCTTTTAACTGGCTCTTTCTTGAATAACATGCACACACATACTTGTCAATCACTCCTAGTTGTTCATAATGGCTTTTGAATCAGCAGGGTGACACAGCGAGTGAGCCAGTGCACAATTATTTTCTCTTCAAATAAGTCCCCAACAATTCATAAGATTATCATTTTGCAGTCAACACGAAACATGTGATGTGTGCACTGGTAATGATAATAATATACAGTACCATCTGTCGGATACAGTCCACTGGCTGTACTGGTGTAGGTCAATGCATGTAGAGGTGCCTTTTCAAGAAAGATCTTGTTCACATGGTGAGGAATGAAACCGCTTCTGTCCAGCTGTTCAATTGAAAATCACTTCTTTATGGAGGCGCAGTGGGGGCTTTAAATGGCCATAAATTCAGTGTCACAGGGTCATTGCTAATGGTAAGTGGGTAGAAAGTAGAATGGTAATACTCGGATGGTAAGATGGAAAATGGGTCACATGCCGTTACTATTATATTTATTTATTGTTTTGCAGCATAAAGCCATGGAAATAATGGGATAAACAAATACAAAGTTAGTCAAATATTGCACTTGCTTTGGTAACAATACTTGAAGCTCTTTCAGGTATGAACTCTTCTTCACACAGCTTCAATATTATTAATATTAGTGTCTCCTTTTGTTGTCACTCCTCGAGCATGGTGATTGTACTGTATGTCCATGTCATCTACTGGTAACTGCTGCCTGCACAGGTCTCTCCATTATGCTACACTGTAATGCACATGTTGATGAAATATAAAGAGAGAAAAATAAAGATGCATTTTGACGGAGAGTGGACTTTTTCTGTGTCGTGCATGCAGTGGTTCTTTAAAGGAACACTTTGTGCATCAAAGTCAGCTACTAGTAACTCATCTTGGAGAGTGCTACCTGTGAAAAAGGTAGTATTGTGATCTCTAAGCTTTGAAAGCTCTGAGAAAAGGATCAGGGTCATCTTGAGACAAATGTCTGGCCAAAAAAACAGTGTAGCTATGCATTGGGGGCATTGAACAGACCATCAGACCAGAGTATTGGGACAGAAGCAGAAGGAGTTGCATTATACGAACTGCAGGCTATTATGTCTCTTGCAAGCCCTGCAATTTTATCACTGGAGTACCCCTTTCATTCATATTTCTCAATATTGAAATGCATGACCTTGACACTCCACAAAGTAGTGCCCTGATGACAGTTTGAGTGTGACAGTAAGACAGCTTTATTCACACTTTCCTTTCAGCTCTCAGCCTCCATTTATTTCTCTGCCACTGCAATCCAAATGTCAGATGTGCATGTCCCTAATAGCAGTGAAGTACTGTCTGATGCTTTGTTTTCACCATTATTTCAGTTCTTGACTCAGTTGCTCCTTCAATACTTATTAGGGATTTGGGATCAACTGCGATGAAGAGGTGCTGATTATTTACAAAGGAGGTCTGAGGACAAAACATGGATATGTTTAATAAAATAGATTTGAATACTAACAGAACATCACTTTGTTGTATAATACAGAAATCAATAATAGGCCAGAGCATAATCCTGCGCTAGATGTGGTAAATAAAGATTATGTGCAATGTGCAGATCATTTTTGCAATTGTTAAAGAGCCATAACTCAATTTGAAGATGAGTTGCATTAATAATTAAAGGTTCAATGTGTGTTGTTGCAAAATGGCACTTGAGACAAATCTCGTCTTTTTCAATTGGGGTAAATTCTAGTCTTATTTGTGTATGTGTCTGTTTCTGTATGACAGTATCCCGAGAATCAGTCGTCACTGGGTAGACTGACCCCCCTCACTCCTCCAAGTCGATGGCTTTCCTTTCTCGTAGCCACAGTCACTTGCAACACGCGCGCAAAGAAGGAAAATGCCTCTGCGCCAACACTAGATAATGTCAGTTGACGTTTTTAACTGGAAATACTGGAAACATCCGGAGTGAAATGGGTTTCAGCAGCAACAGTTCAGAAAAGGCAACAGTTGAGGATGGAGAAGTGTATGGACATTTTGCGCTCATCAAAGCTGGGATTTTGGGTTTGGTTTTTGTGCTTGCAACATGTGGCAATCTTTTCTTCTTGGGCAGACTTTGGAAGAGGCGAAAAAGAAACACAAAGACCCAGCTGTTCCTGTTGCACCTGTGCCTGGCAGATCTGGTGGTCGCCTTTTTCCAAGTCCTACCGCAGTTTGTCATGGAAATTACGCACCGGTTCCGAGGCACGGACTTCCTGTGCCGGTCCGTGAAATACTTGCAGGTGGTCGGGATGTTTGCCTCCATGTACATGATTGTGGCCATGACCATAGACCGGTACCATGCGGTTTGTAAGCCGATGGTTTCCTTCTTGAAGGGCTCGTTTCGGAGATACCTCTCCATAGGCGCAGCGTGGCTCATCTCTCTCGCCTTCAGCGCTGCTCAGATCTCCATCTTCTCTCTCCATGAGGTGGGGGAGAACCTGTACGAGTGCTGGGCCACATTTATTGAACCGTGGGGGAGCAGGATCTACATTACCTGGATCACTCTGTCAGTGTTTGTCCTGCCTGCAGTCATTGTGCTCTACTGCCAAATAAGAATATGCACAACAATCTACTTCAACATGAAGAGAAAGGCGCTGCAGGCGGGGCGCGCACGCACTAAGGGGGTGTCCAACGCCATGCTGAAGACTGTGAAAACGACATTTGTTATTATAATGACAAACACAGTGTGTTGGAGCCCATTCTTTGTTGTCCAGTAGTGGTCTGCATGGAGCCCCAGCAGTGCGCCTACTCAAGGTTTGTCTCAGTGAGGACCAAAGATGCCTAATATTTAATGTCACTGTGGTGTAGGCCCACAAGTTATATATCAATGAAAAATAGGATATTTAAGTGTTTATGACAAGCTCACCAATTGTGCACCTCAGACATTTTCTGCCGCCTTCCCAGTCCCAGTTTTTTTACACGTTTTTCTGTCTCTCTTCCTCTCACAGGTCCAGTATTTGCCATCATCATGTTGCTGGCCAGCCTCAACAGCTGCACCAACCCTTGGATATATCTCTACTACACCTAAAAAAAAAAACATGGACTAGTTACAGATGCTTCATATCCAGGAATATGTCATTTGAGATACAATCCATGAAGTCCATGGATGCTGTGTTTTAAATCTGTTGTTGTGCATCTAACTGGACTAGTGTCAGCATTGCTGTATACATGAGTATTGGCATCTTGCAGTATTTTGCCAGTTAATGTTTCAGTGTTCTCATAAATAAAACACCCATCATGCATGCAAGAAAAGCACACATTTTTTAAATGATTTAGCAGAATAGTTTGCCGTGAAACAAGCTTAGACATGGTGCTTGATGCATATTAATATTAATAATTTTCTAAATTAACCTGCAATAGAAATAGCAGTCAAGACATAAAGCAACATTTTCTTTGTACAAATGTACCGAGAAACATAATGCCAGGCTATACATCATCCTCAGACATGTTTGATATATGTATTTATTTGATGTATTTGAATGTGCTGTAAATGCTTCTTATGTAATAAAAACAAACTGCACACATTTGCATCTCTTCCTTCTGCTTGTACTATACTGTTCCAAATATAAAGTGTAATAAATAAATTATCATTTACTATTAACAGCATTGGTACCCCCTACAATAGAGAGGGGAATCTTATTTTTTCTGTACCATAGATGTGAAGCACCTGTTGGAATTCATTATTTACCTTCCAAATGAAAAAAGGGAGGCTTTGGCTTTTTTTTTTCAATTGTTTTATTTCTTTTAGGCTGTTATATTGCCAGAAGGCCTTACGAAGGCCTTTTGCTTATTTTAAAATCTGAGCGATAAGTGCAAGTCTTGATTGTCATCACAGTGCATCGCATGTCTTCAGTGGTACATTAGGGGACCAATGCAGTGGCGTTCTGTTTTCCTGCCGAGATGCGGAGCAACATGATTACAACAATTTCATTTCATTATTCATAATTTTGAGAATCCATTATCTTTGCTATAGCCCAGTCATTCTTCACCAGGGAAATGTCACCTTGCCTGCAGTTCACATGATGCAAAGACCCTGGAGCCATTTGAAATTGCACTTCACAAATCCTTTCACACGTGCAATCAACTACATCGGAAATTGATTTGAAACCATTTCACCCTCTCCCCTGTCTCCTAATCCCATTTAAGATCTCTGCATTAGCCCCTCACACGATTCGGATCTGTTCCACAGATTCTGTGACCAGGCCCTGCAACAGTGCAGAGACCGCCGATGGCTCATCCTGGAAAGCTGCTCCAAATAGGATTAGGCACCTCACTTGGCCAAAATACTATGATGACTAATTCCGAGCCCAGGGTGGAAAAGTGGAAGATAAATCCTGCAGCTGGTTCATGTTCACGTCATTGTGGGGGGTGTAAAACAATCACCAGGGGCATAGCAGACACAACCCCCCCCCCGAGCAGCACATGGAAACACATTTATGACTTTATTTGACAAAGTAAATCCATCGCTGATTTTTCTGTAAGGCAGAACATTGTTGGACTGGAAGGAGATCCCACAGAACGAAAGGGGGGGGTATCGGCAATCAAGGATCGACCGCACAGAATGACAAAAAAAAGAGCCTCTGCTTCCATGGAACGTGATTGCGAGTGAATAACGAAGTCAGTGTCATCACACGTCTGAATGAGGTTTCGAGCAGAGTCGAGTCGATTTGATGTGAATCAAAACAGCAAGCAGCAGATGTAAATACCAGAGCACCGTGAGGAAATCATTTTGCCAGTTGTGCATCAAGGTATTAAAACAGTTTGGAGCATAATTCATGGTGAGTCATTAATAAGTTATGATGTATAACCGAGATCCAATCATGAAAACATGTAAATATGTATCAGGGATGCATAGCAACAAGCCGCCACGAATCAATGCTTCAATGAAGATTTGAAACGCTTCGTGTGACGATGGTCCTGCAGTGCCACCATGTGGACAAACACAGATACCTTCTTCATTTTCTCACAGCAGACATGTTGACTTGACATAGTAGGAAAAGCACAGGTGCGACTAACAATAATAATAACGGGTCTGTTCTATATAAGTGCCTCAATAAGCCAGGATCTATGTATGGGAGCATGTGCAACATTGCAGCAAGTGATTTAATGGTAAAAATCAGAGTAACATGGATGATATATAATCTTCCAAAATGTTCTGCTTCTCTTTAAACACGGCGCCATCTCTCTTCAGGAGGGCTACCTCGGTCTCCAGAGCGCGGATTTTGGCCAAGGTGCTCTCCTCTCTGCGATCCAGTTCCAAGATCTTTGCGTGCAAGCTCAAGATCTTACACCAAAGCTGATCTCTGTCCCTGTCCGATCTGCAGTACGAGTGCTCGTAAACGGAAATGTGTCCCCTCTCCTCCAAGAAGCAGGCCGCGGGTTCGTCCTTGACCATCTCCACGGGGACAAAGCTATACGTCTGGCCCAGCGCCGCTTGGAGGGCTGCTGCGTCCACATCTTGCTCTCCGTCCGAGAAAAGGCCCAGCGACTCGCAGCACAACACGGTCACAAACGAGTCCGCCCGCTCTTGAGGAGGGGGCTCACTGCGTGGGGACAGTGCGAGGCGGGACACCGTTGGCCTTCCACCATCACCTGGAAACTCACAAGGAGCAGTCCGCATCTCTGAGAGAGCTGAACGACGGGAGATCCCAGTGTCCGACACCAAAGGTAGCTCAAATATCCTCTCCGTGTCTTTGGCAACGACGCTGTGGATTTTTTTACACGTTCTGCTCAAAATGAGCGGCATCTTGTTGAGAGGAGAGTCAAATCCTGCCGGCTCAATGTCAAAAGGCATGGGTTTGGCCTTGGAACTTCTTTTAATGCTTGGAACTTTTTTCTCGCCATCCTGAAATGAAAAAAAAAGTAATCTAGTCAATCACAGGCATTGCAATATAATACAAAATGAAGTTCAGGCTTGTTGCACACCAAAAACTCTCCATGAGTCTAAAGCTTCTTGGAATTTTCTGAAAGGGAAAGTGAGCTTTTCGTACTTTCAGAAAATGTTTAAATATATACTAGCGGGTTGGTCCAGAGCTATGTTTGTGATGTGCAGCAAGCCCTGACTTTATAATAGAACTGTGACGGGTGTCGAGACAAATGCATACGTCCTCGGTGGAGGGAAACATGGTCGGGATGGCTGTGCTCTTCAGGTAGCGGATGCCCCATCGAATATCGAAGCAGTCCTCTGTAAAATGTTCGCTGCACAGGTACTGATGTCGACTCGGGGTCCACTCCTCCCGCCTCATGTTGTCCACCCATCTCTGAAGCCTGGACTTGTCTTGCAATGGAAATCTTTGGGGAGGAGGGGATAAGGAAACTTAAAATAAAGGGCTTTCTATGTCAGTTGCCACTTGGCTGTGGCATTACCTCCAACATTGTCATTCCTCCACATTCACTCTATCAGTCTCAGTCTCCCCTTGTACCATTACAAGAAGGTAACCCTGCCATACATTAATATACTACTGACATGACATTATTGTCAACCTCTCACTGCCTCTAGAACTAATAGTATCTTTGTCTGAAGATTCTAGGGGTAACAGAAAAGAGGTAATTGCAGCTAAACCAAAAACAATTAACTCGGAAGCACATAAAAAAGAAATAAGACAACTTACGGGTAAAAGCTAATTCTTTTGTTGTCTTGTCTAGTTGCAGTTCCCCCGCGGTTTCTGCAAACTTTCACAGCGCAGTACCGTGGCATATCTGCAGCAAAACTACATGAACACGCGTTACAAAGACAGGTTTGTTGATTTTGTTTTTAAAAACACAAACCAGCTCGTAAACCAACACTTCCGGGTCGCCGTCCTCATAGCGGAAATGACGTTTACTTAAGATAACGTACAATATATAATGACAAAGGGTTGCACAACTACGAAGAATAAATCATATAACTTAGGTACATGTCTAATTTAAGCGTTCATCACTTATCTTCTGCCGAAACAATTAAGAAAGCAAATATATAAATCTAATTATAATTTAAACATTTACACCATTTCACTATCAAGATAGTTAACGTACCATCAATAATGGCAAACAGTTGGACAACTACAAAGGGGAATTCATAATACAGACACGTCTAATTTAAGCGCTTATCACCTATTTAATGCAAAAGAAAAACAAGGTATTAAACATAAATGTAATGATATAAATTACGGGGCTGTAATCAAGTTTAGCTCTCACACCTCACTCGATAGTGTCAAAATAATAGAGCAAAGCGAAGACGGAAGTGTAAGCAGTTTACCCTCTTGCTTCGCTTGTATTCTTTACGGAAACTCCCCATTCCCACGTGCGCACTATTTTCACCAATCACAGCGATGTGAGTCATTGCGTAAAGAAATGGACCAATAGCGTTGCGAGTCGTGGTGTTGTTGCTCAGGAATGCAGCTGGTCAACAATCGCTAGCTATCGTTTCCCATCAGCTGGAGCTGCGGCTGATATAAGTATTCTCAGGCTGTGCGTGTCACCTCGTCTCCAGGTAATCCCTCTTCTTTTCTCAATACGCATTAACGTTATTTGTCGCGGGAAGGTTTTTATTACGACTGAGGACAAACAAGAGATTATCATTAACAAGCTTATTGAAGACAGAGCCGCTTTCAAGTTTCTGCCTTCCACAGAAACCCGTGAGTTCCTTGAGCCCAACGCCTCTCTGTTGAAACTAGCAAAGTAATGTTAGTAGTAACCAATGCTGGCGATTTTTGGAATAGTTCGTTTATCTTAAAGTTTTAACCCGCTTTTAAAGTCTACCTGCCTGTGAAACGTCGTTGACAGATGTGTCCAACTGCTCTCTTTACAGCCCGCAAAGGTGCACCAACCCAACAGTATGGCCACAGCACAGGCGGCGTTGCTGCTAGCTGTGCACATTTTGCTGATCTCCGAGTTCATCTTGGCCAAGAGGGACTACTACGACATACTGGGGGTGCCCAAAGATGCCACCGAGCGCCTGATCAAAAAGGCTTTCCACAAGCTGGCCCTGAAGTACCATCCTGACCGCAACAAGGGCCCCGACGCAGAGGCGAAGTTCAGGGAGATAGCAGAGGGTAAGTGAGTCACCATTCCAGGGCAATGGGGCAAAATGGGGCCTGATGCAGTGAATCTTCAAAAGGAATGGCTTTGATTTATTCCCTGAAAATGGCACTGGAAAGGTCAACCATTCAATGTATTGTCTACAGGTGCCTAACTAGCGTTATTACGGTCATGTAATCTCCAATAACAATAGATAGATGATAAACATAACTACATTACTCAAGATTGAACTTTTAAAATGTGTGATGTAATGTGTCTGTGTCTCTACCAGCGTACGAGACGCTATCGGACGATAAGAGGAGGCGAGAGTACGACCAGTTTGGCCACGGGCCGTTGCCTGACGAGGGCCGTAGAGGAGGAGGAGGAGGAGGAGGCGGCGACTACAACTTCAACCAACACTACCAGTCCTTCAACTTCGATGACATTTTTAAAGACTCTGACACTTTCGGTCAACAGCAGCGACACCACTTTCACTCCCAAAATCAAGCCCACCAAAAGAGGCACTTCGACAGCCACTTCCAGGCCCACAGAGAGGCCGTGGACCGACAGAAGAGACAGTTTCAGCAGGGGGGCTTCGGCGGGGGAGTCTTTGATGACATGTTTGAGGACTTGGAGAAGATGTTCTCCTTCAACGCGCACGGCTCCAGGACCGGCGGCAGGTTCCAGGGCTCGGGGAAGCAGCACTGCAGGACGGTGACCCAGCGTCGGGGCAACATGGTGACCACCTTCACCGACTGCTCCTGAGGCGGGCAGAACTAAAAAAAACCGGTGCTCTACACAGAGCGCAGCCACTCGGGACACTGCTGGGGGTTTTAAAGCTGCGCTTTTTTTGGGGGGGGGGGAATTGAATGCTAATTTATCACCGGGTGGAATAGAGAATGGTGTCGCGTGGCTTTTGTAATTTCCCTCGGAGCAAATATCCAAGCTGACCTGATAAAAAGGGCTGCTACCAAGCAATAACTCTCTCACATTACTGCTCATAGCACAGTCCATTATTTACCTTTCCAGGTTCATTTTGTTTACTTATGATGGTACAATCTATAGACTCAGGTTAACAGATTTGATTACAAATATTATTTTTTTCTTTTGAGAGCAATAAGATTTATTAACACACCGCAGAAGCTAATAAGGCCATACTATTATTGTGCTCTCTATAACATTAACCTCTCGCTAATGTAAAGCCAGGCTCATGCCAGCATAGCGTACTCACAACTTGTTCATCTTCTCATGTTTTGTTTTTTTAATTAATTATCTTAAGGATGGCAAAGACAATACAACTTACGTCTGACAAATTTCAAGTTATGGCATTTGCATCAAATATTTGTGTGAAAATTGAGCTTCCCAATCCTGAGATGTGTGTGAGTCAGCCATCATCAACTGTTACCTCGTTTTGTCTACCTTCACTCAGTCAGGGTAGGTAGTTCACATCAGTCTCATGACATTTGCTGGTGGACTTAAGTTTGTGTGCTCGCTCAGCTGTTCTGCAACCAGTTGTTTTGACGGTTACAAAAAGCCTCGGGCTCATCTACCAGTGAAGCTGAATGGTCTGAGAAAGTTTCCTGAACTGATCATAATGTGCAATATTTAGCACTTTTTGCTCTTCATGTTGCCTATCTTTCATAGACGGTGCTTTGTTAATGTCACTGTCTTGTGTGTGTGTGTGTGTGTGTGTGTGTGTGTGTGTGTGTGTGTGTGT